TGGTCTCTGGAGCTTCGACGAGTGTTGGTGGTATCAGGTGAAGACAGCCTTTGGTGGTTGTCGTGGTGTGTTCTTGGTATTGAGAAGTGATGTTCCACTGGTTGAGGACGGTGGTGGTGGTGCTATTAGTTCGTGAAGGTGTGACGACTTTCTCCCCCTTTTGTGTGAATTGTGATCTTTGGGTCATGGTGTTTGTTTTGAGTAAAAGCATAGATTCTGAGAACTTTGGAGTTGAGTAATTAAGTGCGTGCCTTGGGTGGTTGTTTCTCTGGAGTCGTGTGGGAGAGATCCAGATGTGGGCAAGCTATTATTCAAATTTAACTTTTCTTGCTCCAACTAAATGTATAAAAATACTGACGCTATTCGTAGTTACGGCTACGTGAGTGCGAATTATTTAACCTATAATGTACCTACTCTTACGAAGAATATATGCTAACTTAGAATTTTTCGCGACTGTGTTTTATTTAAAGCCAAGTCTTTTTATCGGGCGTCTCTACAAAAGTGACTTGTTTCTGGGATGAACTGGTTGATAGGCTTGGGTAGATTGGTTGGGTTGTTTGGGTAGCAAGACAAGGCTCTGATTTGCTAAGGGAATTTACTTCTATGTCTACTAATTCCGGAGCAGATGGTTCAGGAGTTCTAGTTGGTGTTTGTTGCGTTAAATTTTTGGCGACTTCCTTTTTGTGTTTAAGGTGTAGGAACCATAATGTAAGGCTGTCCCAAAAACTGGCTAATAATTTGAAAGACCATCCATGTGTTTGGTGGATTGTGATTGCGTTTATCACAACTTCCAGAATCCATTTGAGTACTCTCCAGACTATATAAAGTCCAATCATTCCGCTGGTGATATTTCCTATCCAGCTGAGCCAACCCCACATTTTGGCAATTGTTGATTCAGCTAACTTTTCCATTTCTTCCGTGTTAAACATTGATAGGACTGAAACTCCTTGGGAGTCGACCTTTTGTCCTAGGGCTTTTCGAGTTAGTATGTTAGAGATTGCTGTACGTTCAAATCCAAATAGCATAGCTTGTTGTGCTTCACGAATTTCTTGTGGTGTATATAGACCTCCCGTGCCTAGGCTTTGTATTGAATTAAAAGGAAGATGTCCTTCCGTGTCTACCGTTAATGTAATTGGGGTGATGCCGATTGCTGGTTGTGGACTGAAACTTGTCCATTGGTTATTGATTTTGTACAGTGGTGGAATTAAGGAACTGCATTCAATTTGTTCAGCATAGCGCTGTATAATTCGAGTTACAGGAGACATAAAATAGGGTTCATTGTCTACTTGGACTGGTAATTCCATGTAACAGTCGTTAGTTCGTCGAATTTCAACAACGCGAGGCACACATTGAAGGATGTATAGGGCTTCCCCTGCGACTTTTCCGATGAATCCTAGTTGTCCTTTTACGAGGGTGCTTACTACGTTTGGGGATAATGGTGCTAGTGCCAGTCGGTTCTTTAATATTTCTCGGCGTAAGAGGCATCTTCGATGAATTGTATAAGCGTATGTGCGATCCATAGATGTTTTTAGTGATTGTTCCTTGTAGAGGAATTTTGAATTGATATATGCCGTTAGGTCAATATTTTCAGGTGTGACTTTTCTGCGCCAGGTAGTGAGAAGTGGATCTGTTTCTGTTTCTGCTACCAGAATTTTCGGGTGTTCTGTTTGCCAGACGCGCATGCCACAAGCGGCATGGGGTTTTACAAGGGATAAAGCAAAAACTTTGTCATGTTGTTCTACTACTACGTATCTGGTGGCTTGGGAATCGTGAGCGTGGTGTACGATATGTCCTATTCCTTGATATAAAACAGCGTATCGATCGCAATCTGGTAACGTTACTGGCGTCCACACCGTTTCTCCTACCATAGCATCAATGCAGTAACCATTTAAGAATGAGCAAACAACACCTCCGCGTAAGCTTATTTCATCTTGTTCGAGTTTGAGGCGGGCGGTATAGTCTTGTACAGTAATTTTAACGGCGGCCATGACGATGACATTTGTCCAGGTTATGCCGTTATCGGTGTAACTAGTTCCTACACAGTGTCCGTCCATCGTTACGGTGCCTGCAATAGTAACGGATCCTCCTGTTGTGCTATTTGGTGTGATTTGTGAGAAAATGTGTCCATGGAATCCTCGGTATTCTTGATATTCGTGTATTTCTAAACATCCGTCGCGTCCTACTTTATGTACGTAGGTGTATAACGATTGTTGTGTGGGACTTGTGTGGCTGAACATGCCACATTGCATAATCATGCGAGTTACTTCAATCATACAAGTTTTTACGTGTACTTTCTCAAATTGGTCCTTTTGAATGACTTGTAGCGATTTTTCTTCTGTAGAGTAGCTAAAGGCTGGATCAGGACATGGTGAAACGTCATTTAATGAGATGACTGTGATATTGGTAGATGCATTTTGGCAATCGTAGGCAATCAAGGTATCGCTTATTGGTATGAGAATCCCCAGTGAGGTTATTGTTAAGATGAGATCTGGAATTGAAAATATTCAATTACCATCCGTCGTCTGAGTTGGTATCTTCATTGAGTGAGTGTAATTGTTAGCAGTTAAGGTTACGTAACTAGGGCTATATACATAATGTAGTATATATAGCGTTTCAGTGTTTTTGCTTAAGATTTTAGATAGCTCAGCGTAACACCCACGGATGTGGTGATGCTCTCCCTTTTGCTCTCGTGGTGTAGGGATGTTGTGGTATTTGTCGTCTGTGATTGTCTTCGTCGTCATCATCGTCATTATCATCATTATCTGATGTATCGGAAGATTCTATATTAAAGTCATCTTCGTCGTCTTCTTCTGGTGTTATAGTTCCTGAACTATCAGTATCTGAGTCATTTTCAATTTCTTCGTTGAGGTTATCATGTTGGTTATTTAAGGCTGGATACCAAATAGGAAGATTATGATGATTTGGGATTTCTACTGGTTCTGGTTCTTCATCTATGTCATTTAATTCTTCTTCCTCGTGTAATTCGGCAGAGGAGGCGTCATTTGCAGGTTCTTCATTTTCTTCTAGTACCTCGTTGCTTATTTCTACATTCGTTTTCCATTTCCTTAATCTATCTGCATGGACTAAGAGTTCCTTTTGTGTTCCAATTTCCTTGATCTTGAAATTAACTGGTCCTGTTTGAGTTATGATGCGATAAGGGCCACTCCATTTGGGATAAAACTTAGAGGCTAACTTATTTCCTTTTGTTGTGGGTGTATAAAGGTAGACTCGATCTCCTGTTTGAAATTCACGTAATTTGCGTTTGCGATTTAGTCGTTCTCCCCGTTTTTCGTTGGTTTCTTCTAGTGTTTTGGATGCTTGTTGTAATGCTTTATTTAATCTTGCCATTAGTTCTGTAGGATAATGGATATCTATGTCATAGCGAACTCTATCCGGTTTGAGGATAGAGTGAAATGGTAGTTCCATATCACGTCCATATATCAGAAAGAAAGGTGATTCTTTTGTTGCTTCATGTGGGCGATTCCTGTATGCCATTAGTACATAAGGCAGCATTTCGTCCCAATCGCTATTTTCTTCGGTGATGTAGTGGGATAGCATGGTTTTGAGTACATGGTGCATTCTTTCAATTACTCCGTTGGTTGATGGTCGGTATGGAGTTGTTTGTATTTTTTCGATGGTTAACTTCTGGCAGATTTCTGTGAATAACTCTGATAAAAATTGCGTTCCACAATCTGTTAAGAGTATTCGTGGTGTTCCATGGCGTAAAATGATGTTATTAACGAAGGCTCGTGCGATAGTTTCTGCCTTCATATCTGGTATTGCGATGCATTCAGGGTAACGAGTTAGGTAGTCCATACAAGTGAGTATGTATTTGTTTCCGTTGGTTGTTAAGTTGAGTGGGCCGACTATATCCATTGATACTAGTCCAAACGTGCAGGTTGGAACTGGCATGGTTTGTATCTCCGCTGATGGATGGGGATGTGTTTTCCTGATGTTACATGAGTGACATCCCTCGCAGTATTTTCGAATATGTTGAGTCATTCCTTTCCAGTAGAATTCTCTTTGAACTAGTTCTGTAGTCTTTTTCCTGCCCCCATGGGCCATGAATGGAGTGTCATGATATAGTTGGATAAGCTTCCGCTGCATTCTTTTTGGAACTAATAGTTTGTCTTGTCTCTCCCCTGGTTTTCTTTCCTTATAGATGAGTCCATTTGGTGCTTGGTAGATCCCTTCTTGATGGAGTAATTTAGCCAGTTCAGGATCCTCTTGTTGTGTCTTTTTAATTTCTTCGAGGTCGTAGATGATGGGAGTGCATTCGGTATCGATGTTTCGTATCAGTTTTTCTGTTTCATCAGGATAGTCGATTCGAGTGAAAGCATCGACGTGGTGTTGTTTTCCTGGACGATATTGGACTTCAAAGTCGAATTCGGCTAGTGTCATAGCCCATCTGGCTAATCGAGAACTTGGTTCTTTTATGGTTAATAGATATCTTAATGGCCTGTGGTCGCTGATGATGGTAAATTTTGTGCCAATGAGATAACATCGGAAATATTTCACTGCCCAAACGATGGCGAGTGCTTCTCTTTCGATGGTGCTGTATCGAGTTTCCGGATCTTTAAGGCATCTGCTAGCATAGCAAACAGGATGTTCTATTTCGTATTTCTGGGAGAGGATAGCGCTGATGGCTATTCCTGAAGCATCGGTTGCTAAGATAAATGGTCTTCTAAAATCGGGGTATTTTAACACAGGTGGTGTTGTTAAGGCTTGTTTAAGTGTGTTAAAGGCGGTTTCTTGTTCGTGGTCCCACTGATATTTTACGTCTTTCTTTGTTAACTGAATGAGAGGCTTTACAATTGTGGCAAAATTTGGTATGAATTTCCGGTAGAATCCGCATAATCCTAAGAAAGCTCTGACTCCTTTTGGATTCTTGGGTACYGGATACGCARATACGATTTTTGTTTTCKCCGGATCGGTTTTTATYCCTTCCGCKGAAATGATRTGTCCAAGATATTTGGCTTCTTTCATAAGAAAATTACATTTGGTGGGTTTTAATTTAAGATTGGCTTGTCTCATTCTGTCAAAAACATCGCGTAAGCGTTGTAAGTGTTCTTTGACATCTGATGTACTAAACACAATAACATCATCTAAGTAGACCAAGCATTCAAGTCCAACTAAGCCTGAGAAAACTGAGTACATGAGGCGTTGCCATGTACTGGGTGCGTTTCGAAGGCCCATTGCCATTCTTTTAAATTCATAATGTCCTGTAGGAGTACTGAAGGCACTTTTTTCGCGATCATCTGGGTGAAGTTCTACTTGAAAATATCCACTGGCCATGTCCATGATTGAAAATAAGGAAGCTCCAGTTAGTTGATCAATTGTTTCTTGTAATATTGGTAAGGGAAAGAAGTCTGGTTTAGTGACTTTATTCAATTCTCTGTAGTCGATGCATAGGCGAAATTCAGGATCTTCGCCCGGGTGTCTCTTCTTCTCGATAAGGATGACTGGTGCTGACCATGGAGAAGAACTTTCTTGTATAATATCGTTGTTTAAGAGTGTTTGGATTTCTTTATCCAAAATATGTTTGCGATGGTACGGTACTCGATAAGGCCGTTTTGAAATGGGAGGTACTGGTTCTGTGATAATTCGATGTTTTACCTCAGTGGTACATGTTAATCTTTGATCAGGAGCGCGAAATATGTCATGGTATTCTTTAATTAGCTCTTCAAATTCTTTACACATTTCCATGTCTTCCCTTGGGTAAGTTAAAGTTTGTAAAAGTTTTTCGATTTCCGCAGCGTCCACTTGAATGTTTCTTATTTGATTTTCATTTTCTATGAGTGACGGTAGTGTTTCCACCGCGTATGCCCTTCCTATAATTTCTTCTTTCTGCAGTTTGATTGGTTGATTCGTGAGATTTAGAACTTGAGCAATGACGGTCTCTTGATTTTCATTTAAAGTCCGTGCCGTTAGCATACCATTGTGTTGATGCTGGTAAGCGTCAATTAGAATAACTTCTGCGTTTATTGGTTTTTCCATTTTTCCTATACAAATTGCTCTACATCGAGCTGGGACGATAATTTGTTCTAGTAGTCTAATTCGGGACGTTTCCTCTGATTGATGGCCTTGTGGTAGATTCGTTATATGATCATCCTTCTTGCAAAGAGCGTCCCCTTTGCTTGATGGGTCATGAATCTCCTTGTTACATCCTGGATCCTGTTGTGGATGAGACGACCATTCAATGTCAGTGGTCACGTTGTCATTTGTTTGTGCATGCATGCTATTTTCTGAAGAGGACTTTTTCTTATTTATCCCGCCCATCGGGTTCCCCTTCCCGTCTATCGGAATCACCTTCCCATTTATTGGGTTACATTTCTTTCTTTTTTTATTTATCCCGTCTATCGGAATACCCTTCCCATTTAATGGGATACCTTTTTTATTTGTCCCGCCCATCGGGACCCCCTTCCCGTCTATCGGGATACCTTTTACCTCATTTATTTCTCTGTTTTCTTTATCTTGGTCATTGTTGGGAGTCATTTTTCGGTAAGTCGTTTTTTCGTCCTGGAAGTTATTCTGTGATCCTAATTCTTCTTCATTTATTTCTAATTCTTCTTCATTTATTACTGATTTCTTGCTTGGCATAATTCCTGTTGTCATTGCTCTAACTTGATCTTCCTCTGTTTCCAATTGAATCTCGTAGTTGCAGATTTTCATTAGTTTTTGTGACCAACAAATAATCACCTTAAATTTATGTAAAAAGTCGAGTCCGATTAACATAGTTCCTTGAAATTGCATCTCATCCCCTACGGCGATGAAATCTTGTTCAATGCATTTGGTCTTTCCTATTTCTATTGTTAACGAAATTTTTCCCATGTTTCGAATTATTGCTCCTTGAACGTCACGTAATATAAGGTTATTATCAACAATTCTAAGTTGCTGTTTATCAGTTAGATCTGAATATTTAACTAATGATATGTCGGAGCCGGTGTCTATTAATGCTTTAATGTAATTTCCTTCGATGTTTAATGAAATTGAGTTATATTTTGTGCTTAATTTAATGTTACAGATGTGGGGTTGCTTTTGGTTATTATGTGCATTTAGTTGCGGGCCGCCCCTTGTTGGGCAGGTGCGGCCCTGTTGAAGTTTAAATTTGGCTTGCGCTGAGTCCATCCCTGTCTTTTATCTCCTGAGGGTGAACGTACCCAATTTTGCCTGTTATCTCTTGGTTGTGAATGATTCCAGCCCTCGCTTTTATTACCGGCGTGTGGGCGATTCCAATTTTGTCTTTTAACCCCGGATTGTGGTTGATTTAACTTGTAACATTGGCGTCTAAAATGTCCTCGTTGTCCGCATTCGAAGCAATTTTTACAATCCGCCTGCATATGGCCTGTTTTGTTACAACCCCAACACTTAAGGGTTTGTTGTCCATTTTGCCGACTGTACTTTGGCATTTTTATGTATTGCAGATGTTCTTTAAGCACAGGCTCTTCTTGCTTGCCCTGTAATTTAAATTCCTCGGCCTCAATTGCTCGTTGTAAAGTTTTTCGTCGCAATCTGTTTTCGATTTGTTCCTCTCGGAGGGCAATTTCGACCGCGTCTTCAAAAGTTCTTGGTGCCGCTGACATGACCCTTTGTTGGATGGGCATTGCTAGGCCTTCGATGAATTGCATTAAACATTCTTCACGCAGATGTGTTCTAATCCAATCATTTTGATTAGGATCCGCAGTTCTCTTGATTGTAGCTGCTCCTAACATTTGTAACCGTTCCGCGAATTCGGTGACTGATTCACCTGCTCGTTGTACGCAGAGTCGAAAACGGTGTAGATGGTCTACCTGGGTTACTTTACTTTCAAATCGATTAATCAACGCATTTTTTAATTGGTTCCAAGTGCAGTTAGGGTTCTTTAATTCCTCGTTCCATTCTACCAATCGACGAGCAGCCCCTTGTAATTTGAGCTTCGCTACCTTGACCTTTTGCAATTCGGTCCAACCTTCCAATTCTGCCACATCTTCAACGTATCCTAAGAAGGTTCGCACCGATTCGTCACCCGCAAAAATTGGAATTAGCTGGGTGGCCGCGGTTGATAATCCCAGTGGATTACCTGCATATTGCGGTTGTACTTGCTGGTCAAGTGGGGGCACATTAGCATTGACTTGAGGTTGTGGAATCGCCATATTTAGTTAAAAAATAGGGTTACTAAATAGGTATTTCGATTGATAACTAGATCGAATCAATTAACCGGCAGTTTGGTGTTTTTAAATCCCAACTGATTAACAGACGAACTCAATTATTTTTATAATTTCAGATTKATGAATGAACTTAAATTTTTGTCGTGATTCAAGAACACGTGTTTGTAATTAACACTTTAAAGAAGCTTTCTTTTCCTATTTCACGTCCTGTCACCCGTTTAGTGGTTTCTTCTCTCTCAGATGGCTTAGCTAATCTCYTTRTCTCGCTCCAAATATTATGCTTACTATGCCCGTTTAATTTACGACACCTATAAAGAAAGGAAACGGCATGCGTTAATCGTTTCCTTCTTTYGATGGCAAAATACTTAAGATTAACACCGTTAGAYCATACTGTGAATTTATTGARTATAATTACGCGTTTTTAWCAAATCTCAGATTTCTTATTGTTGAACCCYWCCGTATTTTAATTTATTAATAAMTCTAACAGCAATTGTTTTTAGAGTTTGACTGATCTTTTCCTTTACTTTACATTGTTTCTCCAATTGTTCTGATCCCCTGATCTTTTGTATACTGTCTTTGTGTCCACACCCTCACATGTTAATTGGACCCATCGTGTTTATTTTTATTTAGGCCACTCCCCTAGTGTTTTTCTTAGTCCGTAGTTTGAGAATTTTAAGTTACTTTATATTCAACCTACCCTCAAGTGTTTTGTAAATTTTTTTTTTTTATTACTGAGATTATAATGGGTGAGTACCTTTTGTTACTAATTTTCCTAYGCGTCAATAATAGGTATTATTAGTACCGTTTATTTTATTAATTTAATCCGTAAATCCTTATTACAATTATTTATTCTTACGGTTCTTTATTTAGATTCCCGACGACAAGTAATTGTGAGTGACTTGGAGTCTCACATCACGGTTGGGATTCTAACAGTGCTACCGCGAAATGTGACGACAGCCACCTTGTTACACCTGTCATGGGGTATAGGTGCTCCTCCGCCTCCAGGATCGCAAATTATTTATTGGGGCGACTACATATTATTGTGGTCGCGAATACTGGATGTGAGTGTGGTGCACGTGTGGTGGGACCTTACTATTTAGTTGTTAATAAWGTATTTTTAATTTTATGGTATGATTTTTCTCTTAGCCCTTCCTCTTTACTACAAGTTTTAATCAAAGTTTTTGTTAATTTTCTAAGCGGGGTGGGATTATTTGAAATAACTTGGGAATTTCCAATCTGTCACGTCCAAGTCCAGATGTTAGCACCCAACTTCTTTTTATTACCCTTTTGGCTTGACCGCTCCATTTCTACCTACCSCCTACCCTTATGGGGAAAGTGACAAATTTTTGGTGTAAKACTGGGTCTTGATTTCATTTAGTTCTGAACTAGTAACCAAACAAGTCAAACGATATCATGAGCAGTAAGTACAAAAATTTATTTAATTTTGTTATTATATATATATATTTTTTTTTTATTCCTATGTTATGATTTTTTGTTACCTACTTCTTTGTTTGAGTAAAAAAATTATTAATTTTATTTTTATTAATATTCCTAAGTAATTTTTGATAAAAAATTTTTTTTATTTATTTATTTATTTATTTATTTATTTTTTTTTAATCTGCTTTAAGTTATCGCATGCCTGATTCGGAATATAGCTAACTATTTTGTAACAAAAAGAATTTTTATTATTTTTAATAAATTCCGTTAGATTTAGTCACTTTGATTCTAATGTTTTGTCTTGAACACTTTATTACCAAATTTTGTTTTATTTATTTAATTTATTTAGAAAAAAAAATTTCTTTTATTAGGTGGAGGCAGGCCCGCGGGCTATATGAATGATTTTACGGGGGAACTATTTGCTGACCCCCAGATCGACCTATGGGACGTCGATCGGATTATGGATTTGGTGCCGTCCACCATCCTAGAGAGGGTGGACCAAGTGACCATCAAGTGGGTGGCACGCCCACCCTCTACGACGCGGCAGTGGAACATTCATGGGGACTTGGGAGCTTTTTGGTCCCGTAGAGGCCACATCTGCACGGTGTGGGCCTGGCGAGTGTCCGAGTTAAGTGGAATGTAAAAAAATTTTGTTTTGTGATTTTATTTTTTTTTTGTTTTTCTATGAATAAATTGTGGTGATAGAGATTTCTTGCGTCATTGTAATAACCCAGTAATTCCGTAATTCCCATAACAATTTAAACAAACCAGACAAAAAATATATATATAAAAATAAGAACACGTCAGGAATCCACAGACATTTGTGCGAGCAATTAATTTTGCCTCTAATTCAATCTCATTATAAAGTGAAGTGATCTTTCCCAAAAGCAATTGTGAATCCTACTGACTGCGCCAATTCATATGTGGCGGGTGTTTAAGACTCTTTTATAAAAGGGTTAAATTCTTTTATGGTCCAAGCGGGTTACGCCACAAGATGAATAAATTTGTTTGAGGTAGGTTCTCCAGCGTTATTTTGTGGAGCCAATTACTTTGGGAAGACGAAGGAATTAAGCAGTCAAAATTCAGATGTTCAAAAACATTATAAACAATTTATTAAACTAATATTTAAGTATTTGAAAAGTATTACAAAGTAAAAATTTAAAAGAGAATTTAGGTCTAGCGGAACCGCTTCTGAGATAAGGGCTAACGTTACGCTAAAGTTTAGTAAGAACAATTAATTCAATTGAAATTCTTACCAGCTAGGTCCAATAATAATTGAGTTAAACGAACGATCTATTTTAGCGTCTAATAAGGAAGTCCAATTTTCATTATTTGATTTACTACGCTCTAAGTTAAATTAACAAGTAAAAAGTGGGTAAACCCAAAATGAATATAATCTAAATCTAAAACTAGTGAGTACAATTCAGAGGCAAGAGGAGAACAGTGAGAAGAAAAGGATCAGTTATTCAATGGCCCGAAACCTCGTGGCTTCGGTGTAAACATCTCAAATTACCCGGTTTCGCCCAGTCCATCCCAACTCTCAT